GAATTACAAGTACAGAGATCCTTATTTATGAAGACTAAACTAGGGTTGAAAACTTAATCCCCAAGTTAGGCCCAAGCCCACATAGAGAATTAGGGCCGGCTAAATTAAAAACCTAATTTACTGCCATATGGGTCGAACCAAGACTAGGGCCGGCTGCCCTTCTTTGTCGAGCCTCCACACTCAATTCGCCCAAGACAAAGCTCTTCAAAAGCATCAATGAGCACTATAAGTTCTTTAAGATGATTAACTATTCCAACTCAGAAATCCCTTAAGATATACAAACAATAGTTTGCTCATGTCCCGGGCCCCTCAAATAGTTGGTAAATACAAAAAAAAATGCTTAAACAGATTTATTTTGCCAAAGTGAACTCCAAATATCACACGGGGCTCTAAACAACACCCTCCTCCAGAACGAGAGCCATCAAGGATTCCGGCTCATTGTGTGATGACCGACTTTAGTTACTACCAATGCCTTCAGATGTGCTCCACTGCTCGTTGTTATATTAAAATAATTAAAACATACAGTCCCTGAGCATTAACAGGCTATGGAGAGTCTATGTACGCGCAAGCCTTTCTTAAAACATACAGAAGGTACACTTACATTTTCTTATCTTTCTAGCTATTATAGGGTTGTTGATCTCATGCAATCCCCCTTCAATGAGTGATGAAAGCGTGCTATCTCTCTCCTCTGAAGATAGAGATGCCTTACACAGATTTATGTCATCCATATAAAACTCAGATCATGAGATGAATGATTGAGTTGCTCTCACAAATCTCCATTTACTTCTCAATCAATAGGATATACTGATATAGATTAGCGTATTCTTTTCTGACTAGCACAAGCTAGTGAATGAGTTTCATACGACGGCAATTTGACTATAAATGTTGTAGGTGGTTATGTTGGCCACGTTAACCACCTACATGTGCAAATGACAAAGATTGTAGAAATAAAGACGGACGAAAGGATGATGTGCGGGTATATAAAGATGAATGTGAAAAGAAATGAAGCCACGCGTGAAACAACAAGATTTGATATTTAAGTTTATTTTTTTTTAGTTGGAAAATACTTAAGATTGCTTACGAGCTAACATTGTCAAGATCTGTTATTGATTTACAAGTCAGAACTCATGCAATATGTGGTACAACAACAACATTACCCCAGTGCCTCAATGGCTCCCGCCCATTGCGGGGCAAGGGGGAGTCATGATCATGCAATATGGGATGAAAACATAAAATTAATGATGATGGATTTAACGTTGCGATAAACAAAAAAACATTAGTTGAGATTAGTAAGGACCAGGCCCACATATTCAAAACATACATACCTGCTTCCTTAGGATTTCGAGCTTGGTAAAGCATAAGCTCGGGAACTTGGAAACTATACATCCCGCCGGTAAGCCACAAGGCATCATGAGGAGATACCGGATAATTTTCATACCGAGTTCTTACCGCATCTATGGTGCCACACAGACCAAACTCACACAGTTTGATATTAATGTCCTGAGTAAACATGACAATGATTGAAAATACAATTCCACTATTTTTTATAAAAAAAAACAAGTCCCGGAGTAGGAAAATATATGTGTTTTGAACCACCTTGTCAACTAGTATGTTCTGCGGATCAATACTTCCAAGAGTCTTGCCCATGCTGTGAAAATACTCCATCAAAGAAGCAATCTGGGCAGCCACCTCCATTCTCGCATCCCAAGTAAGTGTTAAGTCTGTCGTGGAAATTAATGAGGTAACACCCACATTTTTTTGGTCAAAGTTTCCAATAAATGTATGGCTTAATTAAAGATAGGAGATCAATTACCAGGGCGAGAAAGAATATCTTGCAGAGTCCAACTGGGTTCTTGTTGATAGACAAGAGCAAACTGTTTGTCAATGGAGTATCCCCGTAGTTTTGGGAGGCATTCATGTTTCATGCCAGTTAAAATCATAATCTCATTCTGAAACAAATACAAGTAGATCACATGTATTATTTCATATGCTTATATTTTAATATTTTTTTTCATACAACATTAATAGCTACTATTAGATTCCACCAAGAGGCCGGGGAAAGGCATACTCTCAGTCTTTGGGGATGCAAATCAATTATGTGACGGATAGGATACAATAGGTCCCAGGTTTTGATGAAGAAGCCTTCGGCATGAATAAATCTGCCAAACGCAGTCTTCCCAAGAACGTAATCATCACCAATGTGATGAGTAAGTGGTGCCAACTCGGTAAAGTTGAAGTGTTTCACGCCCGGACTCAGATCAATTCCTTCCAGAGGACTAGTGAATGGAAAAATCAAATCACGTTGAATATGTTGTTAAAACCCAAATATCACAACAAGCATATATATGAACATCTTTAAAAAGCTACTCCGTATGTACTTACAGCTCGGCAGTCCAGGAAAACAACCATTCCATCTCTTTATCTATGCCGTGTGGGCCAAGCGCGAGGGCCAGCGGATAGTTCTCGCGGTAGAAGAGGAGACTGATAGATCTCAAATCATCTAATTTTTCAAGAAATTCATCCTTCTGATTGGATTCTTCCCTTTCTTTGATAGGCATCTCTCCTCCTCCTGTGATGGTGTGGTCTTCCATGGAACCCTAGGGTTTCTGTTTGGGAATCGGATCGGGAGAAACTCTGCGGAGGGATCTGGCATCGCATTTTAATCGAAATCCTATGGAACCTGTGGATGGGTTGTAAGACACCCCATGCATATACGTAGTACCCACGGATGGCATCGTATTTTAATCGAAATCGTTAAGGAACCTGTGGGAGTGTGGGTTGTAACTTGTAAGACAAATAGCTCCCATCCTCCTAGTTTGCAAAATAAGCACCAATACGGCAATACTCGTCTTATATTCAAAACTTATTTCTAAAATTCTTATGGTTTCAAAATGTTACACCTGTGCCTCTGTGATAATTTTCCGATCACCAGCGAAGAAAGGGGGCATTGGTGCATATTTTTTAAACTATAGGGGATATCAGTGCTGATTTTTATTTCCCACAAATTTTTTTTCATTTTTCCTTTTTTTATTTCATTTATTAATAAAGGCTTTTTTAAAAATTATTTTTATAATGTTCTTAAAATTTAAAGTTATTTTATTTGAAAAAATTAACATATAATGCATTGTACTTCTCAAATTAACAATTTTTGTTTTTTCTAAAAAAAAGTACCCCGTAATTTTTTTGAGAACTTCAAAAAAATTAGGAATAAAATAAGAAACAAATTAATACAAAAATTAAAATGAATATTCTTTTTGGACATCTTAATCCTAATGACTTTTTAGGCGTGTCCAATTTCTTTGTATAATATTTTTTTGTGTATTTTAATTTTTACATTTTGTTTTTCCATATTTTAATTTTTTTTCTTTATTTTTTTTGAACTTTCCAAAAATATTATTCTAAGTAACAAAAAGTCAAAATATTTAATTTGAGATAGATGTAATGTATGTTAATTTTTATTTTCATTTCAAACACAAAGAATTTGAAAAAAATATTTAAAAAGGGAAGAATAATAAACGAAAATACGAAATGAGCTCGAATGACACCTATGGTTTAGAAATTATGCGCCAATGCCCCCTCTTCGCCGGAAAATGGACGGAAAATAATCAGATGGGGTGTGGGTGCAACGTTTTGAAACTACGAGGACTTTAGAAATAAGTTTTGAAAACAGAGGGGGTATTGGTACTAATTTTCCAAATCATAAGGGGTACATGAGCTATTTGGCCCATATACTACTCATTTTTTTATTACTCCGTATTTTTTACACATTTAGCTATTTATGATGTGGATCTATTCTAATCGTACCTTTTTATTATAATGCAATATTTTAATTATTTCATTTATCATGTTTATTAAGATCCATAATTTTAAGAGATCATTCTCATTCTTTGTACGTATCACTTAGAATTGTCGTGTCACTCTTCACTGCTCAAACACATTTAATAAACGAAATTGAAAGTGTATACCAATTTTTTTTTGAAATGGTCATGTTATGCTTACACTTTCTGAAAGTATATTATGTTCATGTTTTGGATATTATGTTATGGTTCAAAATACTTAATTACAGTGTGTTATGCCCATGTTCTGAAAATGTATACCAGCTTAAACATATTTTTGGCAGTAACTATAATCATGCTTTAACAGTGTAGATGCATGTTATATTGGGTATAACGGCAGTGTGTTGTGCTCATGTATCTGAAAGTGTATCCCAACTTAAATACGTACTACTCCTTCCGTCCTAAAATTAACTTTCCATTTGACTTTTCACGGTCTCCAATGCAACACTTTGACCATCAATATCTCAATTTTTTATATAAATATATTTTATAAAAATTATATATTTCAAAACTATGTTCCAAAAAGAATTTATTGCTAATAAATTTATATGAGAATTCAATATATTTTTTGTAATATACGGTCAAAGTTTAAAAAGTTTGACTGTGTTGGGAAATTTCCCTCTTACATGGAGGAAATGTTCAATTTTAATTGGACAACACTTTATATCTCTCTTTTATATTTGGGCTTATTTTTGTGTGTAAAGCTTTAGCCCAAATATTTTATGGTGGCCCATATATAAATAAATAAATAAAAAAGAGAGAAAGGGATAAGGGGAGTAAAAAGCAAAAAGAAGAGGTGAGAGGGCAGTGGCAGTAGCCAATACGCAGGAGAAAAGAAGAAAAAAACAGGATTTCCGCCACACTGTGCAGCAGCCCCGTTTTCAGTCTGGATCGAAGGCCAAACGAAGTCCGTGCTCAAATTTTAGTAGGTTGTTCCTCACATACTCCTCTTCAAATCCAACGGTCAGATTCTCATTTTGATGCCCGGAAGGCTGTTTTCTAGCTGCATTTTCAGACCTGCGTTTTTGGGAGTTTTTACTCCATTTTATGTTGAATTGTTGATTGTTGTTGTTCCAAGGTTGCTCCTTGATGATTGTGTATGCCTCTAGTGTTTACTAGAGAGGAGAACTTGTTGTACCCACTTGGTTCTTGGTGATTAGTGGAAGTTTGGGTGCCGTTGTTGAGCGGCCGTGGTTTTCTCCCCGATTTGGGGTTTCCACGTAAATCGTGTGTTCTTTATTTTATTTCCGTTGCTATCTATTTGTGGTGGTGGTGCTNGTTGTTCCTCACATACTCCTCTTCAAATCCAACGGTCAGATTCTCATTTTGATGCCCGGAAGGCTGTTTTCTAGCTGCATTTTCAGACCTGCGTTTTTGGGAGTTTTTACTCCATTTTATGTTGAATTGTTGATTGTTGTTGTTCCAAGGTTGCTCCTTGATGATTGTGTATGCCTCTAGTGTTTACTAGAGAGGAGAACTTGTTGTACCCACTTGGTTCTTGGTGATTAGTGGAAGTTTGGGTGCCGTTGTTGAGCGGCCGTGGTTTTCTCCCCGATTTGGGGTTTCCACGTAAATCGTGTGTTCTTTATTTTATTTCCGTTGCTATCTATTTGTGGTGGTGGTGCTCATTTTTGGAGTATATTGTGCTTTGTTGTTCATCTCATTAATTTGGGGAAAAGATTTTATACGCTTCCGTTGTGTTTTGTTCCGTGCTTCCCCAACAAAGTGGTATGATGGTGGTGATGGTGTTCCAGAGTCACAACCACACTCAGAGCCGCCTCCAGCACCTCAGTTGAGAAGATCCACCAGAGTCAGAAAACCTTCCACGAGACTTTCGGAGGATGATTTTGTGTTAGTCACAGATGGAGGAGAGACAGAGACATATGATGAGGCTATGTCACATGTGCACCGCGAGAAGTGGTACGATGCCATGCAAGATGAGATGACGTCCTTGCATGAGAACCACACATATGAGCTTGTAGAATTGCCTAAAGGCCAGAGAGCACTCAAAAACAAGTGGGTATACAGACTGAAGTGTGATGAGAGTAGCTCACAACCAAGGTACAAGGCAAGATTGGTTGTGAAGGGTTTCAGTCAGAAGAAGGGCATAGATTTTGATGAGATATTTTCTCCAGTTGTGAAGATGACCTCTATTCGAGTTATACTTGGCTTAGCTGCTAGCATGGATTTGGAGATTGAGCAACTTGATGTGAAGACAACATTTCTTCATGGTGACCTTGATAAGGAAATCTACATGGAACAACCTGAGGGCTTTCAGGTTAAGGGAAAGGAGAACTTAGTTTGCCGTTTGAAGAAAAGTTTGTATGGTTTGAAGCAAGCACCTCGTCAGTGGTATAAGAAGTTTGAGTCCTTTATGTTTGATCATGGCTTCCACAAAACACACGCTGATCATTGTGTCTTTGTGAAGAATTACTCCGAAGGTGACTTTCTTATTCTCCTTTTATATGTAGATGATATGTTGATTGTTGGACAGGACACCAAGAAGATTGCAAGCTTGAAGAAGTCATTGAGTAAGTCCTTTGCAATGAAGGACTTAGGCCCTGCTAAAGAGATTTTAGCCATGAGGATCACGCGGGATAGAAAGAACAAGAAACTTTGGCTATCCAAAGAGAGATACATTGAGAAGGTGCTTGGTAGATTCAACATGAGCAATGCTAAACCTGTGAGCTCTCCACTTGCAGGCCACATGAAGTTGAGTATGGACCATTGCCCTACAAGTGAGAAAGAAAAGCAAGAGATGAACAAGGTGCCTTATGCTTCAGCCGTGGGTAGTTTGATGTATGCCATGGTATGTACGAGGCCAGATATTGCAAATTCAGTTGGGGTTGTTAGCCGCTACATGTCGAATCCGGGTAAAGAGCACTAGGCAGCCGTGAAATGGATTCTCAGATATCTTAGAGGTTGGAGGTCTCAAACAAATACAAAACCATAACCTGTCGGACACAATCTACCCATGTGTCTACGTCTATACAGACCTCTACAACTATGACGTTTCAGATGGAGCCCTATGAACTACTGTAAACGACCTCGACGTCAAAGTACCGTTAGTTCTAACGTCTTCACAGTTGCTTTGTCCACTACTGAGGCAGAGTATATAGCAGTTGTTGAGGCAGGCAAGGAGTTGTTATGGATGAGGAATTTTCTTGAGGAGCTTGGTTTGGAACAAGAAAATTATCTTCTTCATTGTGATTCACAAAGTGCCATCCACCTTGCCAAGAATGCCGCCTTTCATTCTCGAACCAAACACATTAAGAGAAGGTATCATTGGATTTGAGAAGCCGTGGAGGACAAGTCTTTTGAACTTGTGAAAATTCATACAAGTGAGAATTGCTCGGATATGTTAACCAAGACATTGCCGAAGGAGAAACTCGTGTTTTGTCGAGAGAAAGCCGGTTTGTTTGCTCACTCCATGTAGAAGTGAGGGGGAGATTTGTTGGGAAATTTCCCTCCTACATGGAGGAAGTGTTCAATTTTAATTGGACAACACTTTATATCTCTCTTTTATATTTGGGCTTATTTTTGTGTGTAAAGCTTTAGCCCAAATATTTTATGGTGGCCCATATATAAATAAATAAAAAAAAGAGAAAAAGGGATAAGGGGAGTAAAAAGCAAAAAGAAGAGGTGAGAGGGCAGTGGCAGTAGCCAATACGCAGGAGAAAAGAAAAAAAAAAACAGGATTTCCGCCACACTGTGCAGCAGCCCCGTTTTCAGTCCGGATCGAGGGCCAAACGAAGTCCGATCGTGCTCAAATTTTAGAATGTTGTTCCTCACATACTCCTCTTCAAATCCAACGGTCAGATTCTCATTTTGATGCCCGGAAGGCTGTTCTCTAGCTGCATTTTCAGACCTGCATTTTTGGGAGTTTTTACTCCATTTTATGTTGAATTGTTGATTGTTGTTGTTCCAAGGTTGCTCCTTGATGATTGTGTATGCCTCTAGTGTTTACTAGAGAGGAGAACTTGTTGTACCCACTTGGTTCTTGGTGATTAGTGGAAGTTTGGGTGCCGTTGTTGAGCGGCCGTGGTTTTTTCCTCGATTTGGGGTTTCCACGTAAATCGTGTGTTCTTTATTTTATTTCCGTTGCTATCTATTTGTGGTGGTGGTGCTGATTTTTGGAGTATATTGTGCTTTGTTGTTCATCTCATTAATTTGGGGAAAAGATTTTATACGCTTCCGTTGTGTTTTGTTCCGTGCTTTCCCAACAGACTGTACAAGTCAAACTGGGAAATTAATTTTAGGACGAGGGGAGTAATTTTTGGCAGTGTAGAATACAATGACAAATTCAGAATTGTATCCACGCAAGTTTCAATATCCAATAGTAGTTTTTAAGTATATATGGGTGCGGTAATGGCATTTCATCCTTTAATGAGACTTTTTTTTATCACTCTCTAGCATAACACCCGTGTAATATGTGTTCTACACTATGTTAGTAAATTAAGAACATTTTTTAAAGATATAAATTGGTATCTAATATAATATAGAAGTTTTATTATTTTAAAGTATAAAAGTTAAATGATTTAAGAATTTCAGAAGATTTTTTAATATACTTCTGGTGGGGATGGTATAAACTAAATTATTTGTACAATTTGTGTGTTTGAATGATTTACAAAATTTTAATTTATTAATGTTATTACTAATTTTATAGGTCTCATAAAAACTACCTTTAGTCTCATAAAAACTAACTTTAGTTTTACTAATTTGTCTTATTCAATCTGTGGCATATTATTTAAAAAATAGTAAATCATTAATTCACAAAATAAGTTTATACTCAAACCTTGGCATGGAGTATAATTTATTTGGTCGGGGTTAAGAGCCCTTATTCCAGTCTCGTGCCAGGCCTGGATTTCTTGGGGCCGACCCTCAGTATGGTATGATCCTTTCTAGTTGAAGAAAACCCCCTAAATAGGAGTAAAATATATGTCATATGCACAAAATAAGAGCTCAAACTTCTCTAAATAGGAGTAATTAAATAAGCCAAGTAATAAAGAAAACATCATAAATAGTATTAAATCTCTAATTAATCTTTCTCTCTTTGGTCCATTTCCTCACGGCCACCCCAACTCTCTCTCTCATTTTTGGCCACCACCCTTATCATTTTGAAGCGTTGCCTCCGTCAAATCCATCCTAAGTGCATGCAGTACATCACCGCCCCCCCCCCCACTCCCTACAATGCCGCCGCACCAGCTCCCCCCTTTGTAGATATTTCATGAAGTATCCCTTGTAGATCCGCCGCGGAGCACCGCCTCAACCTCTCCCATTGCAGATCTATCACATCACCTATATCCATCAGATTTGAAATTATCGCCAGTCGCGATGACTATGATTTTGATTTTTAATTAGCTTCCAAATGCTATATAATTGAGACTGCATTGTAGAAGTAAAAAAATATTTCTAACTAATTGCATTCATCCTTTTTTGTTTCTCCAAAAAATTGTATCTTAATTAGATATTGATTTTAGTTTGGTTTTTTTCTTTCATTTTTTTATTTGATTATTTTTCCTTTTAATTTTTTGTTTGATTATTTTTCTATTAGTTGTGTTTAAATTTTGTTCCTAATTTCAGCAAAATTTGGTGATAGTAATAAGAAATTTGACATTGTATATTGGCAATCTTGACATTTCACTTTCTTTTTTACATTTTATATATTGACATATTTGACATTACGCAATAACATGTTTGACATTATGCAATGATAGGTTTGTGAGTATGCATTATCATCGTTGACATTGTGGCTTTGGTTGGCATTGTATTGGAATTAAAAACTTTCTCCCTTTGCAGTGACCCCATGGCATTATGCTGGCGACAATTGCAGTAAGTTCTGACATTGACAGCAGAAAATGAGGACGATGGAGGCGGCATCCGCAACAAATGGGCGTTAGAGCAGTAGATAGTGGTGGCGATGAAGGCGATAGTGCTGACCATGACGGTGTTAGTGGCAACAACAATGTAGATGATGGCCGCATTTAATAGCGATGTCAGCAATAGATTGTGGCAATGGAGTGGCGGGAACGACAGTACCGACAATGGCTGCGTTAGTGATATGTGCGACAAAGGCTGTGGCTAATTTAGAATTGTTTTAATTGATAAAATGTATTTAATTTCATTGTAATATGAATATAACTATATAACTTCTATTTTGGTACATAGTAGATGTTTTACTTCTATTTTGCTCCTTAACTCCAAGTCACTAAATTAATTAGTCCTATTTAGAGAGTTTATGTTTCAACTTTTCTTTTGAGGATATGTCATATGTTTTACTACTACTTTGGTCATTCTCCTTTCTAATTGAGATGCATTCTCTAGATATGTTTCTACCAAAAATGTCTATTAAATGAAAGCCAAATAGAATGTATTTTGATATTTTCTACTCCGTATCATCTAAATTTAAAATATGTTCTCGAAATGTTCCTTTATAATTAAATATTTTTCCAAACTGATAATTCCCAAGTAATTGTTTCTCCGAAATGGAATTCATGAGCCTACTCGGAGTGAGTTCATTCCTCTAGCGGCCACCCTACTTACCCAATTAATTTGAAATGACCATTTTGAAAGATTATTCATAATTTAGATGATAAAAAAATAAAAATATCCTCAAATTTAATTGTCATTTGATAAATATTTTTGACAGATGATTACTTAGAGAATATTTTTCAATTATAAAGAACTATGATAAGAAATATTATTTATTTAAGACCAATTTCAAACAATACCTTATTAAAAAGAATATTTTCAAAATTTATTCTTAACATAGATAATAACGGTTGATCAACTTTCCAAATCTAATGACTAATGGAAGGTCAACAACCTATGTGCGTTTTTGCGAGCTCTCCTTGTACTTCTACGGGGCTGTTTGGCAACTTCTGAATAGGTAAGTGCTGAACCAGTAAGAGGTCTAACTATTAAGTGCTGAACCAGTAAGAGGTCTGAACCATTAAGAGCTAGTATATTGCTTAACTATTCAGAGGCAAATATCTGATCAATTCAGATAAGAGCTCTTAACCATTCAGACTCTGTATAATACTTAACCATTCAGAGGTAAATCTCTTAACCATTCAGACATCTAAACCATTAAGAGGCTGAAACAAACCGTCTGAACCATTAAGTGCTGAATCATTCAGAAGAGCTGAATCATTTGAACCATTAAGAGGCTGAAACAAAACAGCCCAATCTCTTTACTCGTGTTCAAAACTTCAAATAGCCGTCTACACCACCCTTGCATGTCCACAACGCCGGAAAAAGAGCGAAGAAACCCCATCCCTTTCCCTCAACCTTAGCATAGATTTTGAAACCTGAGATTCGCCATTTCCGTCCCTCTTCTCTTCCAGACGCGTAAGGGCACACCGCAGGTGCTTTAGACGATATACAACACGCATCCGTAGATTTTTGCAATGTCTGAGGATGATAAGCTGTTGAAGGAGGCGAAGAAGCTTCCGTGGGATGAGCGGTTGCTGCACAAAAATTGGAAGGTGCGCCAACGCCGACCTGGCTGCGGTGTTTGATTCAATCGCCGATCCTAAGGACCACCGTTTCCGTGAAATTGGTGAGTTTAGGGTTACAAATCTGGCGCTGTTTATCTGCGAATTATTGCGTGCAATGTGGTTGCGTTTGATCTTGGTTTTCAAAAAGTGTCAGATCGTTTCAATTGTAGGACCTTTGTTTAAGAAGACGGTGACTGATTCAAATGCACCTGTTCAAGAAAAGGCACTTGATGCGCTGGTTTCTTACTTAAAAGCTGCTGATGCCGATGCCGGAAGGTTATTGATGAATTCATTTATCAATGGTACATGGATAACTTAAGTGGCAATGGAAATGATATTGAAATGCTCTTGGGTTGACAGGTACGCGAAAGAAGTATGCGACGCAATTGTGGCCAAGTGCTTGACGGGGAGGCCGAAGACCGTAGAGAAGGCACAAACAATATTTTTGCTGTGGGTGGAGTTAGAGGCCGTGGAATCATTCCTGGTAATTTGAAGCAAAAGCTGTTATTTCCCCCTACAGTTCTCATTGTGTATAAGTTGCATGCAATGAAGTGTTTGTACTTGCATATGTTTAAACTTTATAGAGAAGATCAATTGGATTCCTAATCTTCTTGTTGAAAAAGTGATTCTTAATCCCATGCAACTTTAACCCACCCCCCTAAGTTTGTCAACAAAATTCGATTTTGGTGACGAATTAAATTCGTAAGATCAATAAATGGGTTTGGTCCACTATAGTGATAATTTGGGGCTTTCACATTGTGCCAAAGTCAATTTTCATGTTTTGTAAGAATATCCTGACCTCAGGCATACATCTTAACCCAAGACCGTAATGCAAGGTATTCAAACTCGAAATTATATGTTGGATGGGAATATAAATAAAAGATTGTTAATTGTAGGGTCATAGCACAAATCATAAGATCCTACTCACATATGTAATTATATACTTAAATACACGCAGACACCCACACATCATTTTCACGTTTCAAAGACATTTAATTTTGAAGATATATCATTCATTAATCGCAAGTCAGGAGGAAGTCTGGAATACTGAGAAGAACGGGAGAACCTGAATAAATAGGAGAATAATTGGAGAGAAGAAGATATGATTGTATCTGAATTTATTGAATAAAGAATCAGAGACAATCTAGAGCATTTTTTCATGTTGCCGATGCCCTAGAGGGAGGTTTAGGAAGCTAGGGAGTATTTTTGGAGGTTTTTAGACATAGACAGGTGTATGATTTTTCAGGTTGTAGTGGATGTAGTAGACGGTAGAAGACATGCGACTCATAAGATTTGTGCGTTTAAAGTGGTACAAATCGGACTCTTTCAATCTTCTACATTGCTTGAACTGGACTGATTCTACTCATTCAATGATCCTGAACCACGTCTTCCATGATCTTGCTGAATTTGTGATTCTTCTTAATGATCTTGTAGAATTTTCACGACTCTAAGGGGTCGATATGTCAGTTTGACTACCTTGACCATATAGAGTTGGGATTACACTAGGTTGTTGTGTAAGGGTAGCTTGCAACTATAAAGTTTGTTGGAGAATTAACAGATTGAAATATATCAAGTGAGGAATGTCTCATTTAAGGGACAATGAGTTATTCTATTGTAGAATAATAATGGTTTATGTTACATATCGATCTGCCACATTGTAGGATGCTACATTGTAGGATGCTATGGAGAAAGCAATTAAAAATAAAGTCGCAAAAGCTGTTGTACCTGCGGTAGACGTCATGTTTCAGGCCTTAAGGTCCACTGAAATCTGCTCCTCTGTCTTACCTTTTTTATATTTATTTATTTGATGATTTGAATTTTAATGTCACTTCCCCATCAATGAGCAGTGAATTTGGCTCAAAAGTTATCCCACCTAAAAGAATCCTGAAGATGCTTCCTGAATTATTTGACCATCAGGATCAGAATGTCCGAGCTTGTTCTAAGGGCCTAACATTGGAACTATGTCGATGGGTTGGGAAGGATCCAGTGAAATCTATACTTTTTGAAAAAATGCGAGATACAATGGTATGCTATCTACATCAATCTTAATTTTGTTGCTTATCTGTTCATGTTAGGTGGATTCTTATTGTTCTTTTTTTAATTATAAGAAAAAAGAACTTGAGGCTGAGCTTGTTAATATTACCGGGACTGCAAAGCCAACTCGCAAAATAAGGTGTTGTCTGTTTCCTGAACTTTTTCTCCTGCAGAGATTTGAAATGTCTAAACCTCTAAAAGTTTTGGTTAATCTTTGCCAGATCTGCCCAAGACAAGGTGCTAGAACAGGATGCTATTCCTAGGACAGCTTGCTCTGGCCCTTCTGAAGAATCAGCTGTCGACAGTAACTACTTTGAATATTTATCTCTATTTTGTTTGAAATCAATATTGATCTTAGTTATTGTGGGTTGGTCTAAAGTAGAGCAATGATTCTTAAAGCTATTATAGGCAGCATGGTGTGTGATATTGTATTTTACTGACCCGAATTCTTCTAATTTCTGTCAGCCCCACAAGAAATAGATGAATATGAACTTGTTGATCCTGTTGATATTTTAACTCCTCTTGGAAAGTCTGGTTTTTGGGATGGAGTGGTATGTGGACTATTGCAATTTTTTGTGCTTTTGAGCAAGTGATGAATGTCTACTACTTGGTCAACTATATCATTCCTATTTTTTGTCTTGCATCCCTCATTTATTTTACTTATTTTTGAAATTTTGATTACAGAAAGCTGCAAAGTGGTCAGAACGAAAGGATGCTGTTGCAGAGTTAACAAAGCTTGCATCGACAAAGAGAATAGCACCTGGAGAGTTTTCAGAAATTTGCCGCACATTAAAGAAGGCATGTTAATTGATTGTTAATTGATAGTTTATGATATGCGTTTGAAGTGTTTTTGGCGCAACACCGTGCTTATTTTACTTGTATAATTTACATTTTTGTTTCTATTCGGTGCATTGTTGCTGATTCATTACATTGTAGGTCATAACTGATGTGAACATTGCTGTAGCTGTTGAAGCCATACAAGCAATTGGGAATCTTGCTAGGGGACTAAGAACCCATTTTTCAGGGAGCTCACGGCTCCTACTACCTGTTTTACTGGCAAGTTTTGAAATTTTAATTTTTTAATTTAATTAATAATATATCGTAATGCGTGTTTGGATATTTAGTTTTATGCCTCTACTGCATTTTTCATTTTAAGGGAGCACTGAACATGTTTCCTTTACCTTTGATTTGCACGAGTTTATGCTAAGTTTATCTTTGTTTTTATTGTATCCTTTTCTTTTCACCTTTAGTTACTGCCTTTCATTCTTACCCCCTTATATTCTGCTTTAAAATTTTAAATGTGCTATTAATATGGTCTAATTCTATTCCACTCCCAAGCCAGTTATCCTTGCATTTTTTGTGTGCCAGAGATGTTTTTTTCCACCTTTTTTGTTGAACCATATATTTTTAAGGTCATTTTAAAATAATTTTTGGAGAAGATTAGAATTATATTTTAAAAAGCCTTACAAAGAATAAAAAGGAAAGCCATAAGAATTTGATATTCTCTTCATTGCTAAATAAATTCATTGTCACTATTCACATAGTCAAACTATGTCGTCTTTCTTTATATTTGTGTTAATCCCTTGTTATAATAAAATAGTTTTGTCATTGTTGGTATTGTAGAACTCTTGCTGCAGTTTTTAAATATATAAATGTTTTTTTAACTTTACACCAAGATTTAAACAAATTGAATTCAAAATAATTTTTTTTCAAAAATTGTAACCAAAATGTAAAGTATATTAAGGGACAGAGGGAGTAAATTGTTTGGGTTGATGTTGATGTAGACTTGCAGTTGCTAAAACATTATTTGGGTCCTTGACTAGTTGACTATCCTTTAAATAAAAAATTTGTACCACACAATAAATAACATTAGTGTTATTAATTAATTTTTCTCTTAGAAGTTAAAACTAATTGACCAAATTAAAATGGTATGTGATACTCCATTCCTAAATATTGTTCATGATTCAATTTATAATTTTTGATTAAGCTGTTTGCAATTCGATTTATCTACTTCTCTGTCCAAGTTACTTCATCTCATACAGTATTCACACCGTTAAATTTTATTTACGAGTATTTTGTTAGATTATTTTCACTTATTTCATAGTATAATACTCCCTCCGTCCCTATTTTGATTGCAATATTCCCTTAATTTATTGTCCCAAAATGGATTACAATATTCCATTTTGGTAACATTTGGATACCTTAAAGACAAAAATATCCTCACTTTTATATTCCCACCCCATGTGTGTAAAAAGTAGGCATGAAATTAGTTATTTATTAGGGGTATTTTGGGAAAAGATTTATTTGATTTGACATAATATTAAAGTTTGTGAAAAGAGAATATTGTACTCAAAATAGGGACGGAGGGAATACACTAATATATGCATGCCACCTCTTGTTTTGCAGAATTTTTTTTTATCTAGTTTTCAAAAATATAAATTTAGTTTTGAATTTTACATCTATACTCAAATAAATTGAATTGAAAATAAAGTCGATCAAACCTTGTAAGGCATAATGGAAAGAACCAACTTGAATGGAGGAAGTATTAATTAGTGTAAAATTTAAAAATTAATGGGAAAAGGTGGGATTTGAAGAATGTGTAATTTTGGTTTTACTTTCAAATCTTGCCATTACTTTTTAGTAAGGGAGGATAGGATGTTACGGATAGATAATTAAATATGTATGATGTGATAGGTTGGTTAATTATTTGTAGGGGTAAAAGGGAGATTTTAATTGAAAGTGAAAGTGTTTTTTCTACGGATGAAACGTAAAAGTGGAAAGGTTTTTTTTTGTGATGGGGGGGGGGGAGTATTTATTTAAAAACTACACAACAAGATGGCAAAAACGCACGCCAGTATTCCCAGATTTGGTCGATTATACAATATTACTACCACATTTCCTTTTGCATACCAAAACTCCGAGAAATTACCAGATTTCACATCACTATTCCAGCATGGTTGAGTCAGCTTTGGGCTTAATTTTACGTAAAATTATTTTAGCTAACATGGCCTTTGAAATAATTTGTTGGTAACACATCTAAAGTAAATGAATTAAATTGAATCTTTGGACTTTTTTTGAATAATTTAATAAAGTCCAAATGATGTCGAATTTAATTACAGTACTTCATGAAGCAATTCAAAAAAATGTCATTCAATTTAATTCCATTACTTTAGATGTGTTGCCAATTAATTAATTATTTTAGATGTCATTCTAGCCAAAATAATTCCACGTGCTTAAGCTTGATTGATGTAAAATTCAGTGATTTCTTGGAGTATTGACATGTAAAACTGAAGCTGACTGTAATCAACAAAACCCGGGAGTATTAGTGTGAATTTTTCCTTGACTATTTGTTCTATCAAATGATCCAAGAAAAAAAGTGAGAAAAGAAAATATGGTTGTACCATTAATGGGGACAAAATCTTTCTTGATTCTCGCTTATTGTGTGTGTGTGTGTGTGTCATGATCCCGAGGTGTTTCAAAAAAAATCCTGTTCCCGTTTGACTAAGTTTGATCCAGGACAAAATCTCGCCCTGTTGAGTTCAGGAGTGTTGGGGTTAGGGTTAGGGGCTATTGGGATTGGATATGGAAATCTGGAATGATGTCATACCCTATTTCTGAATGCCTGACAAGGAGAAGGGAGCAAAACACTTCCTTGTTTCTTACTGATGTTAAGTGTAAACTGTGTAATTCTAAGCATTGTTTTGTTAGAAACTTGGAAGTCTTATATTAAAGCTCTGGTACTAATGATAGGGTGTTATGATCCTGCTGCTGCTTGATACAATTTAAATTTTCTAAGATTTTGATTTCACTGCTCCTCATTTGTAACTTTATTTTTTTGTGACATTTTCTTGGACAGGAAAAATTGAAAGAGAAAAAGCCTGCTTTAACAGAGGCACTAACTCAAACACTCCAGGCAATGCACAAGTCTGGCTGCTTAAATCTCTCAGATATTGTTGAAGGTAAGATATTTGTTCAAAATGTGTGAATCATACCTTGGGTGATTACCCAAGGAAGCATGAAAATTGAAAAATTGCCATAAAATGAGAAATTTATTGCAGTATGTTGTCTATGCTGCTAACGAACCCATCATTTTGGGTACGGCCTACAACTTTTTATTGATAGAACAACATTTCTATTTTTATACTTTTCACACATTATCTCTTTTGTTTAGGTAAATGAGATTTTTATTCATTCAAAAACACAAACTTTAATGACAGATGGGAGTTAGTTAATTGGAGTAATTAGTAGTACAACGTTACCCCGGTGCCTCAATGGCTCCCGCCCATTGCGGGGTGAGAGGGGGGAGGGGTCAGATGTATGCAGCATGACCCCTTTGTTTAAAACATAGCGCTGCGCCAGGACGCCAAGTCGTCAGAAAAGCGACGCCTAGGCAAGGACTTGAAAGTTAGGCGAGTCGAATCATCAAGGCGAGATCGAGAGGGCTCCGCGACGCCTAGGCGACGACTAGGCGATGCCGTGATTGCAAGAAGCGCAAACAGTTTAGAGAGCCAATTTGCTTTATTCCATCATATCCCAAAGCTAAAAAATAGTGAATCCTCAGCTCCACAGGGGAATGGAATTTCATCATACCCTAAAGCCAAAAATAAAAAAAAGTGAATTGTTGGCTCCATCGGAAATTAGGAAACTGTTAATTAATTAGTGTGATATGCTTTTCATTTTTTTCAAAAATGAAAAATGCATATTTTGTGAGTACAAAATACAGTACTTGCAATCAAATATGTATTCATCTTCATTTCTACCATTCTTCTTGGTTTGTCAATGATTTTTCTTGGCATAAAGTTTGTTTGAACTAGAGAATTGACATTATTGCAGATATTAAGGCAGCCACAAAAAATAAAGTTCCACATGTTCGATCTTTGACATTGAACTGGCTCACAGTTTGTATTGAAACAAGCAGCAAGGCTATTATTCTCAAAGCTCATAAAGAGTATGTTCCAATTTGTATGGAGGTGAGATGTTATTTCAAATGATATTTCGCTTGTTTTGTAATATATATCTTTTATTGCATTTAGCATATTTATGACTTCTGATATAAGTTCATGTATTGTGGCACCTTCCCATGCTTTGTTGGCAATGCTTCTTTGCTATACATGTAAAACTAGATTACAAGAGCAATCCGACAAAATCACAAAAGGTATGGGGAGAGTGTGTGTATGTAGACCTTAGGCATGCTCGAAAGTAGAGAGGCCGTTTCCAAGACATGTAAAATTAGATTATGGATTTAAATCAGTTTCCAAAATAGTGTTCATCTTTCATGTGGAGTCATGCCAATGAGGCTAAGAGAGTCGTTTTGTTTCTTTGTATGTTTTATTGATCATTTGATAAAAGAAAATATTTTTGTCACCTTTTGTATTGTAGAACTTTTGATGATTTCTACTTACTCCCTCCTAAAACTAATTTTCTGCTTTGATTGGGCTTTATTTTAGTGGTGTGTAAAAGTTGAGCTGACTTTCCCGAAATACCCTTTTTACTCCATCTGATGAGTATCCAACAATCTGAATTTGGTTTCAGATGAATATCCAACAGTTTGAATCTGATTTCGTTTCCAAATAATCCAATCCATATATACACCATGCATCTAAACTCCAAACCCTAAATTCTTGTTGACCAATCATGGCGGATCCTCTTTAGGATCGATCTATTTCAACACAAATGAGATATGTGCTTGTCGTTTGACGGAGGCCAATTTTTAGATTTACCGTAAGGAGTCTAAGGACATTGCCGATTTGCCGGAGTGCGCTCATCAATCGTCATTGGAGGTCATCAATCATTGTCGGGGCTCACTTAGCTTGGATCTGTCAAATATTTGGGACAACCACCCTCGTCACGTCACGTCATCAAATAAGAGGAAGAGGTGAAGGGAGAATGGAGAGAATTGGAGAAGACAAAGAGGGAGAGAGAATTAGAGAGGACAACTTGTGTGAAATGGAAGAGGAATAGTGTACTAGAAAAAATTCAGTAAGGTCCCTCAAACTGGGGTTTGGGGAGAGGGAATATATCTTAACAGGATCCCATTCCAATTCTAAACTATTGTTTTGATCATGGGATATTCAGAATTCAAATTAAACCAAATACTGTTCTAGATTTGGTACCTAACAAGGGCCAAATGGCGCAAAGCTTTAGTTTTATGCACAGCACACAATCTGTTTAATTCTACTGCTGTTGACTAAAATTTGAAAACTGTCCTCCACTATTTCATTTAGATGCTGCAATGCGCCCTATTAAAAATAAAGACATTAGTTTTTTCCTTGTTTATACTCCGTATATGTAATGAGTGAATTATTTGTTAATGCCTTCTGTTTTTGTGATAATTATGAAATTTCGCTCATGTGCTGAGGTCCTACATCATGCAGTGCGTGAGTGATGGAACACCAGAGGTTAGAGATGCTGCATTTTCAGCTTTGTCAGCTATTGCTAAGGTATTATTCTGAGAAGAGTTTGTTTCTGTTAGTAATTTATCCATATTTGTACTTCCACAATGTAGTGAGATTGTGTTTTTTACCTGATTCTTTTGTAGTTGGTTGGCATGCGACCGTTAGAAAAATCAATTGAAAAGCTTGATGATGTCAGAAGGAAGAAGCTTTCTGAAATGATTGTCGGGACTAGTGAATCTGATGGTAGCTCAGGTTTTAAGTTCGTCTTATGTTTAACAAGATAAAACTATTTGATATATTTTTTCTTGCAAAGACGCATCTTATCTTTAATTATACCTCACATACCTAATCAAAACGATTAACCCAGTTGCAGTGCCATCTTCTGGAGCAATTGTACCTTCCTCCATGGTAAATATATTTTGTGCCTAATGTGTTGTCCATTCTGTTAGTTTTAACATGTTCTATCTGTTTCTTTATAGATAAATGAGACTCGTATAGAGTATATTATTAAGAGTGTCTTGAGAAACTTTAATCTTTTTCTGGGATATAACTGCACAACAAAACATTTTATTTTTTCAACAGTCATGTGGCTGCTTGTCACTTTCCCCCCCTGAAATTTAGTTCTATCTTTCAATACAATTTGGTGACTGAGCATCTAGACGGCTCTTTTACCTAGTGACAGGCTGATAGCTTGTTGGGCACAACTTGATCAGCTGGTTTAAAGCCTGGGCTTTTCAGGCCAAAGCCAATAACTAATGTCTCTGTTTATATTTGTAGGCATCAGATGGATCATTTGTTAGGAAGTCAGCTGCTAGTATGCTTAGTGGGAAAAAAGCTGTTCAGGCTGCTGTAAGTTTTACTTTCTTTTAGAGGATAATTTTTTTTTGTTTTGATTTGTTTCAAATCAAGTGAAAATAGCTTTCGGCTAGTAAAATCTATTTTTTCCCATTTTAGCCCATCAATAAGAAAGCAGTGCCTGCAAAACCTGGAGCTGCCAAAAAAGGGGACGGAGGCGGGCAGTTGAAACTGTCCAAGTCTGTGGATATTGAAGATGTAGAGGCAAGAAAATGATGTTTTTTTGTGTTAGTTTCTCACTTATATTTTTACACCTTCTTGATGTGCACAAAACTGTTGCTGATTTAAAAAAATGCTTTTCATGCTACAGAATACGATTTTGCTATTTGCCTTATTTTAAGCTTTTTTACCACAGCCAGAAGATATGAGTCTCGAACAGATCGAGAGCAGAATAGGTTCCCTTATACAACCGGACACAATTTCCATGTTGAAGAGTCCAGTATGGAAAGAGAGGGTTGAAGGTCGTAAGAAAATTCTAATTTCTGTCATTATCACATATTCACATATAAGCACCTTTCTTGGAAACAACCTCTCTGCACTCGAGTAGGAAAAAGTCTGCATACGCACACCCACCCAGACCCTACCTTGGTGGGATTTTACTGTGTTTGTTGTTGTACACTCCTTTCTATGTCTGTCTTCTTTCCATCCTATTCACAAAATAGGTTCCCTTATGGCCTTATGCGCCTCACGAAAATTAAATCTCAGTACTACATTTTCTCAATTTATATTTTTCTGCATTGTCAATTTCTCGTCTTTGCAGCTATCTTGTCATTTAAAGAGCAGGTTAAGGCACTTGAAGAACTTGATCCATCAGTAGAGATTTTGATTCGATTGCTATCTGTTGTCCCTGGATGGAATGAAAAAAATGTTCAGGTATACCATTTCTAGTTTTTTCAGTGAAAAACTTGCCTTTATTGTGCATTGGAATGTCAACATTTTGATTAATATTTCTTTAAAAATATGCTAAATACAGCCATTTCATAGCTGTTGTGGTGTTCCTTCTATGTAACAAAAGAAAAAATGGTGTGCATGTAGTTGGCATTCTTCAATGAATAATTGTTTCGATCGGATTCTTTAAGGAATCATTATTTCTAGAGAAAGGATATAAAAAACACCAAAGCAGATATAAAAAATTTTGGGGCTCCATTCTGACTAAGTTTCTGCATACCAAGAAGCAGCTTTTGGCTCTCTAGTTGTGATCTAATACTTATGCTTTCACCTGTACTGCTTAAACCGCAGGTCCAGCAGCATATCATCGATGTTATTTCCCATTTATCTTCAACAACATCAAAGTTCCCTAAAAAGTGTGTTGTACTTTGCCTTCAAGGTCAATTTAAAACCTTCTCTCTTTGCTATGTCCCTTTTTAACTTAACTGCTCTACTTTTGTGTTATACCAGAAGGTAGGGGGTGTTGTGAAACGAGGCAGGGAGTTGAGAGTATTTGTTTGGTGTTTTTGATAAGGGATAATCAATGCTCTAATATGAGATATTATGCACTCAAATCTTGCTTAGTGTTAACTCTAGAATTTAGTTAAGAATCACTCCTAATTAAAGTACCAGAACCTAACACTCAACTGAGGAGAACTTCTCTTAAGATATAGAAATTAAGAATTTGTTTGAAACACTCAAAGAGTATTAACTTGATTCAAACTTCATTTTAAAATGCTTTTACTATTCCAAAATCACTTTAATAAAGTTGCATAAAGTAGTCTTCGTGAGTCCTTTTTTCATATTTCCCTTGGGTAATTTTGGCCAGCATAGGATGATAGGTGATGGTGGTGTTTATTTGATTATTATGGCTTAAATGTGGAGGCAAAATTTAAAAAAAAAACAAGGTAAACAAACTGACCATTGTGGTTGCTTTTCTTCTTTGATTTTTGGCCAAATAATGGGTAAAGGGGCAAGACTCTTGGCTTATTTTTATGGTGTATTTATGAAGAATTTAATAAATATTGTGGGCTAGGTGGGGATGGGTTTGTTCTATGGGTGTGTTTGGCAAGACATGCCATTTTGTTGTTGTGTTTCCTTATCTCATGGTTTTGCATACCTTGCTTGCAGGTATCTGTGAAAGAGTTGCTGACATCAAGACACGTGCTCAATCCATGAAATGCCTTACTACTTTCTGTGAAGCTGTTGGCCCAAGATTTATTTTTGAGAGGGTAAACATAATTCTCTTTTGGTTCATGGGTTGTTAGTGTTTCTTTAATCTAGAATCATTCTCAGGCCCTATTCTTTTGATTTGGAATTTTAAACTCCACTCTTTCAAGCTCCATATCCATACTACTTCTAATTGCTTTCAGCTGTTTCCAGCACATTTAAGTTTCTTCCAACTTGTGCCAACTCTTATCCTTGAATTGTATGAATTAAAAATTATTTACAATAGACAAAAACGACATTACCCTAGTGCCTCAAATGCTCCCGCCCATTGCGAGGGTAAAGAGGGGATCAGATGTATGCGAGCCTAACCCTATGTTTGAAACATACAGCCTTTGCTTCCAGATGACCCATGATCAGTGTCAAAAGTTGCTTTGACTAACTGCTAGTTCCCTTTTAAAAGAAGCGCATACAGTTTAAGAGCCATTTTATATTTTTCATTTTACTTCATTCGACTATAATTCAATCAAATTCATTAACATTAGCTCATTAACCATACACTCCTGTCCCAAATTAAAGTTCGTACTTGATTTTCTCACAAAGTTTAAAAAGGTAAAATTGTTAAGTCGAGATTGATGTAAAAGAGAGAAAGTTATTGTGGACCACCAATTCCATGTTTCAAACAGAAAGGGAACTTTATTTTGGGACAATAAAAAGGAGTGTGAGAAGTTTATTTTGGGACAGGTGGAGTATATGCGATCAAAAATATCTTTCTGTATTTAATTTTTTTTAATTGATGTATAAATTTGAATTACTTGACACCTAAATGAAAACTAAGTGTAAGCATTGCAAAAGAAAAAAATGAAATATATTTTTTTGCCATCAAACATATTATTAGTATTATCATTATTAAAGTTGCTCTACTTTACAGTAGCGGTAAGACCCGCACACACACACATCCCCAAACCGTACAATATGTAGTGTTCTACTGGGTTTGTTGTTGTTGTCAAAGTATTAATGATACAGTTCTTGTTAAAAAATTAAATAATTCATACGAGTAATAGAAAATTTTAGATTGTACATTTGCTTTGAGTTCCATAAAATTCTAATCCGCCCAAGCACCCTATATTAGATTGTTTGACCATGTTTGTTATGTGCATTCCTCCAATGAGTCCGGCTACACTAGAACCACTTGTGCTACAAAGTTTGACACTATCATTCAAAAACATTGAACAATGAAATTTTTTACAAGTGAGTTACAATGGTTTAATACTTGGTGGCATGAGTGGCTTCAAAGTAGAACCACTCTCACTCTCTTCTCTCTAAAATTCTCTCTTTATGTTTTCTCCAATTTGGTAAGCCAACATGGGCATTCTACTTAAAAGAAATTTACGAGGCATTTATATGTTTTGAATTCTTCCTTTGTCCCATAGTTAATTCCTATTTGCCAAGTTTAATGGAACAATTTTTTCAGTCAAAATGGGCAACTTTGATAATCAATTTAAAAAGAATTGCATTTCATATTATTTATTTCATCATATTTTATTTAATTGCTTTCGAAGTTTGTCTAGCCTGAAAAAGCCAAACTAGGGATGGATAATATTTATTTTGAACTCCTTTCAACCTTTCATTTCTTTACAACTATTTTTAGTTCTTTTCAACACCTAATTTCCTTTTTTCCAACCCAAAAGAACATAGGCTCAAAGCACCCTATCTTATGTGATATAATTTTCTGATTTTTATATTCTTTAGCTGACTATGATCATGAAAGAGCACAAGAATCCTAAAGTTCTTAGTGAAGGCTTGTTGTGGATGGTCACCGCAATTGAAGATTTTGGTGTTTCACATTTAAAACTCAAGGTAATATTTTCCGTAATAATGTAATCATTATTCCTAATAAAGGCATAGTATTGTGCTCTAGTTTTATCTTAAAGATGAAGATAATTTCATGTTGTATAAAGTGTGCTGTTTTTTCTACAGGATGTAATTGATTTTTGTAAGGATGTTGGCTTGCAATCCAATGCTGCTGCCACACGAAATGCGACAATTAAACTTATTGGTGTCCTACACAAATTTGTTGGCCCGGGTAACTTTTCTATTTTTGGACCATAACTTGTTTTGGCTGTTCTCTCTCACAATGTCTAAAATGTGGCTTACCCGTTGGCAGATATCAAGGGATTCTTATCAGATGTAAAGCCAGCTCTTCTAAGTGCTCTTGATGCAGAATATGAAAAAAACCCGTTCGAGGTTTGATTTTAGTTAAGCATTGTTCTACTTACTTCTATTTGTTTCTTGTAAGTATCATGCAATTTTTTCGCAGGGTACATCCTCTGTACCAAAGAGGACAGTGAAGGCATCAGATTCTGTATGTGTGTCTGGTGGTGGGTTAGATAGTCTCCCACGTGAAGACATAAGTGGAAAGATTACACCTGCTTTGCTTAAGGGTTTAGAAAGTTCAGATTGGAAGGTTCTGTACATTATCCTATCTAGAATTGATCTTGGGAAAGTTGGATTTTGCTATACTCTATTGTTTCTGGTTTCAGATTAGGTTGGAATCCATTGAAGGTGTAAATAAAATTTTAGAAGAGGCCAACAAGCGCATTCAGCCTACTGGCACTGGTATTACTCTCTCTCTCTCTCTCTCCCTCTCTCATTAAATAAAATTTTGAATGTGTGTGCACGTTCATTGTTTGAAAAATAACTACAAGCACTGAAATGCATTACTTGGTTTGCGTCTTGACTTTCCACCCTCTGTTCACACCCTCCTGCAGGAGAGCTGTTTGGTGCGCTTTGGTGTCGGCTGTATGATAGCAATAAGAATATTATCATGTCAACTCTATCTACAGTTGGTGCGGTTGCATCTTCTATGGGGCCAGCAGTTGAGAAGTCGTGCAAGGTTGATGCTTCACTTGCATTTGTTTGTATATTTGTATATAGTACATATTGATTCGTATCTCTTTATTTTTTCAGGGCATTCTCTCAGATATATTAAAATGTCTTGGTGACAATAAGAAGCACATGAGAGAGTGTGCTTTGAACACACTTGATGCTTGGGTAGCTGCTGTTCATCTAGATAAAATGGTTATTGCACTATTCCCAATATTTTCTGTACTTTTATTGTGATATTGATTTTTCACCAATTTGACAAATGGTGTTTTTTCTAGGTACCATATATTACTGCTTCACTGACGGATGCTAAAATTTGTGCGGACGGGCGTAAAGATCTTTTTGACTGGTTATCCAAACAGCTTACTGCAATGAAAGAATTTCCTGAGGCACTTTTTCTTCTAAAACCTGCTGCTTCTGCTATGACGGTATCCTTAACTTTCCCAGTTTCCCTGCATATATTTTACTTTTGTACTACTTTTGTACTAAGTTTGAAAATGTTATGGTATTTTTATATAATAGGATAAATCAGCTGATGTTCGGAAAGCAGCTGAATTTTTATTTGGTGAAATTCTGAGAATTTGTGGACAGGAGATGGTATTTTTGTTGCTTTATTTTGCTCCTGATTAAATGTGTGTGTGTGTGTGTATTATTATTAAGTTTGCTTCTACTTTTGTAGGTGACCAAGCATTTGAGACATATTCACGGGCATTCTTTAGCCGTCGTCATTGAACGGCTAAGACTGCATGGGGGCTTACAAGGTCTCTCTCTCTCTCTCTCTCTATGTGTGTGTGTGTGTGTCTGTGTGTGGGATCCACATTTTTTGGTTGATATTAGAATTAATTGTCTCTGTTCAGGTTCATTTGAATCAGGCAAAACAATAACAACTGTGCTCACGAGCAAAAACAGCCAAATGTTGGGAAAATCCAATGCCCCTGCACCTCGCTATGAAAACAGAGTGGGTTGTTCGTTACATGCTGATGCTTGTATTTTTACTTGTGTTTGTCGATTTACAGACACAGATGCTTTACAATTTGCTGTTATTCAGAGAGTTTTTCCTGTGAAGAGTTTGAAGCATGAGTCCCTCATGTCTGCTCAGGGGATCAGTTTACAGTCACAAGCTTTGATAAATATTAAGGACTCCAACAAGGTGTATTTTCTGTAATTGAATTAAGCATATCTGTAATCTATGTATGACTCAGGATTGACTATCTTGATATAATTACAGGATGAGAGAGAGAGAACTGTTATTCGCAAATTTAAGTTTGAGGAGCCACGTCTTGAACATATTCAAGATCTTGAGGTCTTTAAAGTTTACTGGATTACTTTTGCATCATTGATATCTCTGTTTTGTACTCCGTATTTAAAAGAGTACATTTTAAACAGAGTGATTTGACAAAGTTTTTCAGAGAAGATTTCCACCGGAGGCTTTTAAGCTCCGACTTCAAGAAGCAAGTTGATGGGATTGAAATGTTACAAAAGGTGCTTTGCATTGCAGCTATTCATTCTTGGGAGAAATGGGTCGTTTTATTTAATTGTTTTTTCCAAAACTTTCAGGCGCTGCCATCTTCAAGAAAGGAAATAATTGAAGTTTTTGACATACTCTTAAGGTGGTTTGTCTTGAGATTCTGTGAATCTAACACTGCATGCATATTGAAGGTTGTTTTTTGTAATTAATAGTTTCATCGCAATGTTAATTGTTTACTTCTCTTGTTTCCTCACCTCTACTCATATTTTGTGCTGTTATAACTTCTCTTGTTTACTTCTCTTCTTTCCTCACCTCTACAATTATATTGCAGTACTCATTATATATTTTACAATGAATCTCCTTGCTAATTTTATTAGGTGCTTGAGTGCCTTCCAGAGCTTTTTGATATGCTGAGGAATGAAGGCTGCACCATGACAGAAGCTGAAGCAGCCATTTTTCTTCCATGCTTAGTTGAAAAGGTTCTAATTCCCCCTTTGCTTGTGTTGTGAGCTGTTTGGTCTTCATTTAACCATATAAAATGTTAATCTGACTGACAACTATATATATGTGTGTGTGTGTGTGTGATACAACAGTCTGGTCACAATATTGAGAAAGTCAGAGGAAAAATGCGAGCGCTGATGAAAAAAGTAATTCTCACACACTCTGCGGCGAAGACTTTTCCATATATTTTGGAGGGATTGCGTTCTAGAAACAGTCGTACAAGGATAGAGTGTGTTGATCTTATTGGCTTCTTACTAGATAACCATGGAACAGAGGCACGATTTCAAACTGAATTTCTTCTTTTTGTGACCAGATAGATGTCCATCTTTTCTTGTTTTAGTAACACCCTCCTTTTCACTGGCAGATTGTTGGACAGTTAAAATCTTTGCAAATTGTGTGCAGTTTAACTTTAGAGCGGAATGGTGAACTTCGGAAGGCTGCATTAAATACTCTAGCTCTCGGTTACAAGTTATTGGGTATGCTCCTATTCTGTATTCTATGTATAATTGTGATAATATTTGAGTGATTTTCTTCATTCGGTCTCCAGGGTTTAGTTATTTATTACTCTCAGGAGTTTTCTTGTTGCTTTTTCATTCTTGTTTCTATCATGGAAGCCTACTGCCTATCATTCTTTTTTGGAGCCTTCCAGTTTTTAGCTATTCTAAATTTTGCTTTAAAAATATTTCAGGTGATGACATCTGGAGATATGTTGGAAAGCTAACAGAGGCTCAGAGTAGCATGTTAGATGATAGATTCAAGTGGAAGGTTAATAATTGCTGTACCTACTTTTCATCCATGTGCGTCAAGTGGCCCGTATTGCTTTTTTCTCTTACTGTACCAATATGTAAATATTTTCAGGCTCGGGAGATGGAAAAGAGGAGGGAGGGGAAACCTGGTGATTCTAGGGCTGCTTTGAGGCAATCTGTGAGGGATATTGGGTATGTAAATGTGTCAAAATATTGGTGCCCTGTAAAGAGATCAGTGATCACACAAATATTTTTTACTATTTCCAAAATAAAATTTTGCTCTACAGTGCTTTTATTTTGCATGGGAAGGTTTTGTTTTGTAATCTTTAATAACTGACCCCAGCTTGTTATTTGGACATTTAGGTCTGATCTGGCAGAGGAAAGTGGTGAAGTTTCCAGGTCCATCGCCTGCCCAATCTTAAACAGGTTGAAGATGGAACCTTTTCTCTAGCTGTTTTGACTGTTATGAATTGATTATATATTTCTATTAATTTATTTTCCCTTTTTTTATGTCAGAGAGAATTGCAACCAATCTGAACTTCCCATCAAGAGACACTTAATACCTTTCCCAATTTCTGGAACTAATTGTCCCACAGACTGGAATGAAGCATTGGATATAATAGCATATGGTTCTCCCGAACAGGTTTACTTTAAACTAATGTGCAGTCTGATTCTTATGCTTTAGGGAAGAATATTTATTCCAAAATAGTCACTTTCGAATATGAGCAGATTACTAATTGCCATTGTATAATGCTCCTTCACAATTTATCTCTACATGCACGATGGTACTCTATTTAACAATGAGATATTGATGGTATGTTGAGACTGAGTGTTGGTACCACTGCTGAGCTCCTCCGGTGACCAAAAGGTCTTTAATTTTGAATCACCACTGTGGATACAGCCTCTTGACTAAAACTTTCAGGGGAAGGCTGCATATTTTCCTCCATCACCGCATGGCGCGTAGCGCTTGATTCGCTGAGTTTATCCCTCATTCTGATCTTATTGCGGAGTATATTATATTTGAATAAAAGGTCCTGGTGGTATGCACATAGAGTGATTGTCTGTCTAATACTTTGAAATAGAAGGCAAACGTGCAACAAGCTGCGCCGCTTGCCCTTTGAACTTCTTATATAACTTTGGATTTATTTAATTTTTTTCATGTAGTTTACTCACCTTATCTTTGTTTTTAGGGCCTAGCATTTTTTTTGTTAAGAATGGAGATGCATATTTTTTTCAACTAGAAGCTTTATTACTTGGAATATATGTAAATACAGCTGGTGTGTCAGGAAATTTCAAATTCACATGATGTTAATAATACATGTTTCAAAAGTAAGAAGTGATTTATTGGGGAACTCTTTGCTGTTGTGTAGTCAATAGAAGGAATGAAAGTTGTATCCTATGCGTTGGGGCTAGCAATGGGTGACCCTGAAGGCAGTGTAATGGAACAAGTTTTAAAAGATGCTGATAAACTTGTATCCTGCTTAGCAAATAAGGCAAGAAACTATGTAATGATAGTTTACTTAAATGTGCTACCTTCCTATTTCATCATTAATGTGGTGTTGCATCTGACTTGATATTGCTACAGGTTTCCAAAACATTTAAATTTAGTTTGACGGGTGACTCATCGAGGTCCTGTAAATATGTTCTCAATACACTTATGCAGGCAAGTTTTTTAAAACCTGCACTTAATTCCCATTTCTTTCAGAAGTTTCGGTATCTTAACAGTTTCCCTCTTATGATTTTCCTGCAGACTTTTCAAAACAGAAATCTGGCTCATGCTGCCAAGGAGAGCACCCTTATGGTTCTCATTACAGAGCTTCTTCTCTGGCTTTTGGATGAAAGAGTTCACCGAATGGATGATGGCAGTCAGCTTCTGAAAGCCTTGAATGTTCTGATGCTTAAGATCTTGGTATGCATGTATAAGAAAATATGTCGCTTGCATGTTACTTGGCTGTATCGGTTGGTCATAAAACAAATCTATTTTTTGGTCAGAATGTTCTTTTATCCCTTTCCTCTTTAGCATTTAGAAAGATAAACCAGATCTGCACTTCTTGAGATGCTATCATCTTTTCCTCTCTTCTATAGGAGTGTTTGTTGCTGTTCATGCTTTGGGTTTTTCTGTTAATTTTTTATGAGTGCATATTTTTAGCATGTGAGAAATATAGGGCACTTCCTTAGATTTAGTCACGTGCAATCAGGTATCTAGTGTTAGAATCTCTTTCGCACACAGGGTGTGAGAATGGTGCATTTTAAAAGGGAACTGATTCTTCTGCAGAGATAGGGTGTTAGAAATGTGAATGATGCAATTTTGGTCTCTACATTGCCCTTTGTAATACTAAAACCTTTTCAGGGGCAACAGAGTTCAACTTACAGAGTATTCTCTAATATGCCACTGTTTTTCTAGACTTTCCCCTATATTTCACTTTTTAGTAGCTCATATGTCTTAAATCCAATGCACCATATGCATTCTCATTTCCTTCATGAAATATCATTCTCATTTGATCATATGTATGTGTGTGTGTGTGTGTATATATGTGTGTGTGTGTGTTTGTGTGTGTGTGTGTGTATGTATGTATGCATGCATGCATGCATGCATGTATGTATATGTGTGTGTGTGTGTATAGTGCAGTTTAGGTGAGAATTACTTTTAACGCAAGAAATGAGAATGATGCATTTTCAGTCTATTGCCATGCATATTTACATTTACAGTAGTTCATTTTTGTAGTGATAGCAAAAATTGACTTATTTACTAAAATGTCACCACATTTCCCTAAGTTATTCATTCTTAATAGCCCCTAGATCTTAAATGAGTTAAATCTAATTGCACTGTATGCCTTCTTATTTCTTAAATGCAGCATCATTCTTATTTTTGTGTGCGCACCTGTATTTGTGTGTACATAGGCATGGCATAGGGGTGTGTGTTTGCATGCATGTGCGGGCGTGCACACAATTGGTTGGCCTTCTAACTGCTCTGATTATAAACTTCTGGCAATCACTTATGGCATTTATAATCTTTTAGGACAATGCTGATCGGACAACATCATTCGTTGTTCTCATCAATCTTCTACGGCCTCTGGACCCTTCGCGGTGGCCATCTCCTACGGAAAATGAGTCACTATCTACAAGAAATCAAAAGTTCTCTGATTTGGTTGTGAGATGTCTTATCAAACTTACAAAGGTGATCCTCTTCTAACTGCTCTAATAATGAACTTCTGTTTTCTTTTTATTATGATTTTTTCTGTGCAAAAGATTTGGTAGATATTATTAGGCTGACCTATAGGTGAGTTGCAGGCTCAAGCCTTGAGGTAATAGTGCATTTGTTTTGTCTTTCAGAAGTCAATCAAGTGGCACAATTGGTCCTTCATATAGGACAAATTGATGTGTTGTTTTCTTAATGGATAAGGCACTGCCTAATAAGTAATAACTTGGGCCACAAGTGTTATCTTTTACTCTCTATTCACTACTTATTTTTCACACCACATACAAATTGTGTCTCCTTGTCTATATTTCTGATGAGCGGACTTGTCATTTTCACTATGCTTATCATGACAGTTGAGAAACTTCATTGTTGTTGAGTGCCTAGTAAAAATTTCCTTTGTGTAATATGTTATGTAGGTTCTCCAAGGTACCATATATGATGTTGACCTTGATAGAATTCTTCAAAGCATTCATGTATACCTGCAAGAATTAGGCATGGAGGAGGAAATCAGGAGGAGGTATGTTTAAACTAAATAAATACTGGTATATTGCTGGAGTATCCTTGTTAATTTGGTATAAACTAACTAAATATTCGTATATGGTTGGAGTGTTCCTGTAAATTTGGATTTTTGGTGACTAACTTTTTCCGAACACACTTATTGACGTATGCATGAAGTTAATATTATATTTTTGGTTTTGATTTACACATTACTCAGAGCTGGAGCTGATGACAAACCATTACGGTTGGTGAAAACAGTTCTGCATGAACTTGTTAAGCTTCATGGAACTGCCATAAAGGGCCACCTTTCAATGGTTCCTATTGATATGCATCCACCGCCCATCATTCTTGAATGCATTGATCTTCACCTTCAGGTAATGTTCTTGTTTGACACTAAAAGATTGACACATTTCTGCCATAATTCCCGCTGCACATGACTCCACTTGCCGCTTGCACTTAAGTCTACTTGCTGTGAACATCTTTTATATGGTATTGTTCATGGTATTTTATTTTGGCAGACATTAGCAGGTGCAAGAATGTTAACACCTGTGCCCAGACAAACACATTTGGATGATATCGGTGCTAACAATTCCACACTGGCAAACGATTCTGATCCACAGATAAAGGTGCTATCTTATTATTATTATTATTATTATTATTATTATTATTATTATTATTATTATTATTATTATTATTAAATGTCCCGGGTGCAAAGCCTTCACCTTGATGGTAAACTAACTATTTACTATTTTCTCAGCAAGAATGAGCTGCAATATTCAAGAAGATTGCCGATAAGCAAACATGTAAGATTGGTCTCTCTGAGTTATATACAATTACACAACAGTATCCCAGGGTAATTTGCAGACATGTCTTATTTTTGTTAATTATGGAAGTTCTATCACTAGTCCTATATAGTGTTTATGATGGTTTTCAGGTCAACATTTTCTCTCAGCTGCAGGATTCAAGTGAAGAAGCGTTTAGGACATATATTAGAGATGGTTTAGCACTGGTCTGTATTTCTCCTATCTAACCTTAATAGTATAATACCCTACAATATTAAGTCTACTTTTATTCGCCCACTAAGAGTATCTTCAATGGGATTATTAAAAATGGGTTGCTAAATGCTATTTTAACGTGCATATAGTGTTTTAGCAATTCATCATTTAGCAATCCCTCGGGTAATTTTCAAGAATGGTACCTGAACTTTTAGAAAACTTTCGATTTGATACCTAAACTTCAAAACCTTTGACAAAAATACCTAAACTTATTTAATTCTTTCACTAATAGTCCATTTACCCATTTCCGGTCATTTGCCACTAATCTTAGTCCACATCATCTTCTTCTTCCCTGTTCTTCTGATCCTCTTTAATTTTTTGGTTCTTCTTCTAGTTCTTTTTAGGGATTCTTCATATTCTTTATAAATAATAATAATAATAATAATAATAATAAGCAAGAACTACTCAAAGTGTTTACTAACATGAAAGGAGTGAAGTAAATTTAATACTCCTAATACGTAGTCAGCGTTGAGAAAGCTTCAAACATGTACATAATAATATGTAAAGGAAAAGAAATTTTCTTTTCCTCTCTAACCTCAATTTTTTTTCTTTCCCTATCAATTTTAGTGAACCAAATTTAATCTTCACTAAAATTCTAGTGAAGAAATTGAGGAAGTACTATTTTCTTTTCTTTTCCTTTCAAATTCCTTGAACCAAACATAGTGTTAAAGAAAAGGTAGCGGACTTATTATAATTTCCCAAATTTTAGCGATAGGGTTGTAGAATTGATGAATGCTAGAGCAAACATTTCTAGATTCGGGGAAGAAGAAGAAAAAAAGAAATAAATCTGCTCAATAATGGCAGCTCTGGTGAGGTGGTGAATGGTGATGACTCATAGTGCTTTTTGGCTAGAAACTTTTGAGTTTATTAGAAAGCCCATTAGAAAGCCCATCGAAAATGTCAAAGACTATATTTTTTGCTTGCTGTTGTTATTGTTAGTGTTTATTTATTTATTATTAGAGTCATTATTGTTATTATTAAGAACAAAAAGATTCTTTAAAAAAGAACAAGAACCAAGAAATTAAGGAGGAAGAATAGGGAAGAAGAAGATAATGATGTGGCCTAAGATAACTGGCAAATGACTGGGAAAGAGGCAAATGGATTATTGGTGAAAGGTTCCTATAAGTTTAGGTACTTTTGTGAAGATGTATAATAACAAGTATAGTTGTTATGTATAGCAAGCGTTTTGGTTAAAATAACAAAAATAAGTTGCTAAAATTACTATATTTTAGCATTTAGTAAAAAGGGTTGGAGATGCTCCAGTGTTGAAATTCTTGTGGGTTGAGAGAATCGGGCGGTGTGTTGGGTAAAATTAACCATTTTACGTATAAAGTTAAGATCCACTTTCTAATCTAAAAGCTTAAACAGCCTGATGATATGGTTTCACCCTTCCATATATGCGAGTTGTATTTCTTTATTTCAGAGCTATACCCATCGGCTTAAACTCTTTTGGGTTATATAAAGTGGATCCCAACTATATATGCAAGTAGCATTTCTTTGTTTTTTTCCAGATGTGGAAACTCCAACACAGAGTTTTCATATTCAATCAGAGTGGTGAAATTGGGTAGCAAACTATACAAAGTGATTCACCACAAAATGAGAGCAGCTAATTAAGTGGGAGGCAAATGAGAAGAACAACAAATGTAAAGGGGACTATGCCTAGCCACGACATGCAAGTATAGGCTATTGCTTTTTTATGAAACATGGTATCATAGCACCACACCCCGTTCAGAATATTTAGATATACTCCGGGGTATTAACTTGTTACCAAAAAAGGGCTTATTTAACCCTAATGTTTTTCTACATATTGACATATTTAGATGGATCAATAACCTTTCTTCTTTTTGTGATTGGGCCTGTTTGGGAATAGCGTTACATATTAGCGTTAGCATTTTGAAAAAGCTATTTACGCGTAGCGTTTAGCGTTAGCGTTTTCAAAATAATCTGCACCGTTAAAATTTATCTAAAACGCTAACGCTAATCTCTAATGTTATTCCCAAACAGGGCTATTGAATCATTAGAATCTTTGCATTTAGGTGTGACATTTTTTTGTGGAAGGGCGTGCTGTTGTTGGTGACAGGCAGATGCAAAGGTGTGTGTTTTTTTTGTTGGCCATTTGGTACTTGGGTGGCCTGATTTGATGCATGTTGTGATGTGAAGGAAGCTAGCTGGTTATTTAAATGGGAGCAACCAGTTACACTTATTTTTTTACGGAGTATTTAATATTTAATTATTTTTATTCAAATTAAATTCTACTCCCGTCCCAAATTAAATTTCATGTTTACTATTCACAGGATCATTTCATTCAGCTTTTTTTCTTATTTTCATTTGTTTTTCTTATAAAATAATATAATCATGTCACTACTAGTATTGGAGGTCTTTTGATGTAGTTTTTAAATATCTAATTTTTATTTTTTATATAAAATGATTTTAAAATAACTTCAATCAAGCATCGTTAATCTAAACAGGCGATTTAAATTGGGACGGATGAGGTATCTTTTATAGAAGAACAAAAAAAATTTTTGTTCATTTTTTGTTTAACTGTTTTCTTTTTAGTTTATAATTTTTTTTCATTTTTTTATCTTTTTATATTATACGGAGTAACAATTGAATTAAAAAACTTAAAGGAAAAAAGCTTTATTGTACAACTAAAAATACGATTACAAATTTTTTTAATAAGAAAAGTTTAAGTGAGACATACTTAGTAATTTATAAATTAAACGTGTTTATGGGGAGATAAATTTGAGATTTGTTGCCTTTGTTTCTTCTTGATTAATTTTTTTAATTTAAAGATTTTATAAAAATCCAACTAATTTATTAGGAAAAAATTAGAATGTCAGTTGTCAAATAATTAAATATACATTATATCCAATTGCACATGTAAAATTATAAATATCCAACTAGAAAAAACTTAAAAATACAGAGTACAAAATTAAAAAACAAAGTATTCTCTTTTTGTTAATTCTTGACTTGTTAAGTTTTACAATTACAAAAATACAACATAAAAATTTAAAAATTTATAATAATACATTCAAGCAAAAATACAAAAAAAAATACAATAACTAAAGTAATTGACAGAAATTTAAAAGGCGAGAAAAGTTGATATACCTCCCCAAATGAAGAAGGAAAAGATACCTTTTCAAAATTGAAGAAGGTATAATGTTTCATTATTTACCTCTCCCTTTGGAAAATGATTTTTAATAAAAAGAGGTGTACATCACAATTATTACTCTTTACGCTCTCTCCCAGTCATACCCTCATTCACACTATATTCTTTATTGATAGGCATTGATCTAAACAAATCTCTAATTCTAATAATGTCTTTCCAGTTTCCAATAATGACAACAGTCCTTACTTTTTTTTTTAATCCTAGTGGGCAAACCACCAAGTATGGTGGGGTAAGGTCTAGGCAACCCTTACCGAGTATTAGTAAGATATCATCGTCACCACAAAGTGAGGGGAGGACCAAACCGAGGCCTAACGCCAGCCCCTCATACGGAAGACAAGCCTTCCGTAGAGTACAAAGGATAAGAAAGGGAAAGGGGGCCTAGAACAGGCTTGACCAAAACCACAATATGGTCCTAGCTAGAACAACTAGTCTACGACTTGACCAAAGCCACAATAAGGTCTTGGCTAACAACAACACTACTAGTCTACGGCATGACCAATGCCACAATAAGGTCAAAAACACGACCAAAGTACCACGGAAGACCAATCCAAAACAGCCAACACAGTTCACATAACGTTATGAGGATGAGGAAGGTGAAAACTCAGGAACACATTGGATGTCCCACTGACAGAGGATTTGACAACGCTTAGGCAGAGCATATATACAATCAAATTCTCCACTTGGGTGACGCTAGTTACAACACCATCTAACCAGAAAGTTAGTCACCCTATTAGCATGATTATCACAAATGGTGGCCGTATAAGTACAACAGGATAATAAAAAAGCAAGTCTGCTCAATTGAGGGCAGGTAAGGATATCAAGTTTTAGAATATTAATAAGGTCCTCAAAATCAGCTTCCACCTGTAGTACTTGAAATCCTGCACTTAAGCACCATTGAAGCATTATGAAAAGTAACTCAATAGTTCCAACCAACACAGAAGATTGATTAGCTAGCCAATAAGCATATTGAAATATCCCTTTTGAATCACGAGCCATAGCAGTAAGCCCATGGCCATTTGTATCAAAACACAAAGACACATTAATTTTAACCGTATCCACAGGTGGGTTTTGCCAAAGAGATTCCTTGAAGTGAAAGGCCTTAGATATATTGCCAGAGAGAGTAAAGATGGCCTTCCAATCATTGATAGAATTCGATAATTTTGGCCATTTATGACACACAGCCTCAACAGCATCCTTCCTCACCTTGAATATAAGTCTAGGCACATTAACCTGTTTCTCCCCAAATTTGAGCGAAGCATAATGAACCCATAATTCCCAAACAATAAAGGCAGGTATACACTGTTTCAATAATTGTCTAACTGTGGGCTTCTTAGAATGAATACGGGACCCCCACCAAATGTCAAGATATTGTTTGATAGTGGTACAGCCATGGTCCATACCAAACAGGTCACAAAAATAATTCCAGACAGCTCTAGCCACATCTCCTTGTGGATCCACTTAACTCATAGTACCTCATTTTTGCCTGTAATGTCCCAATTCAGCTTCATAATAATGGTCATGTTCCAGTTATTGGCATTTTTAACCCCAACCCTCCATAACTCCTCTTTTGACATATATCATCCCATTTCACCAAAGGAGCTCTTTTATAGTCACTAGAACTACCCCAAAAAAAATTTCTGCATATATAAGTGACTTTCTTTAACATTCCTTTTAGTAATATGAAAATTCTTGACCAAAAGGTAATGATTCCCATCATGACAAATTTACAATATTCCCTCTCATTCTTGTCCCAAAAAGAATTACTCCCTCAGTCCCGTTTTAAATCACTCGTTTTGAC